GCAATTGTTAGAACGTCAGTAGAACTGGATATAAATTAAAATCAATATGAACGTCAAATCAAACATTTTTAAAAGAGATCCTATTTAAAAGCTAGATTGATTGCTTCGAAATATTTTTTCAGCACAAGAATTTTAATCGTTGTCATTATTGTGTTAACAAACTGAAAGATTAGTTGCCAGCGCCACCTGGTGGATAATGCAATCCATAAATATCCGAATGTGTCCATGTTAAATCACGATGACGAACAGGAAGCGAAACAGGAAAAAAAAAAAAACAAAACAAAACAAAAAACAAAACAACAAATAATGAAGACAATCAGTGACTGGAAGAAGACAAAAGAGGTAATTAGTAAGAGAGACGAGGATGGATGAAGGTGAAAATAAAGAAAAGAATAGTAAAGGCGAATGGGGCTGGCGATAAGAGGAAAGGGTGAAATAAATCTGCAATGATTCATGACGACTGTCGCCGAAGAGCTGACGTCACAGAGAGAATTTACGAGTCAATCTGCAATGAATTCCAAATCGAGGCTCTCCGCCGGAAGTTTGTCATTTTTTTGACGTTGAGATTATTTAAAAACGAAATAATAAAACGAAAAAAAAAAAAAAATGAGCACATTTTATATTAACAAAATAAAACAAAACAAAAAAAAACTCGAGATATTTAATATTAATAAAAACAAAAACAAAAAAACTAAATATATTTTATACTCGCTTAAAACCCGCACAATCTGGCGACATTTCGGCTAGCTCCTGCGGATTGGGCGTATATCACAATAGGTAGCGGAAAGTAGATACGATAGGCAACAATAAACTACAGAAGAACTCAAAATTGATTGCTGCATTTAAGTATTGCATAGCTTTTAAAAGGTCAACGATAATTCTTCTGTCGCCACTTAATTTAATGACAATTTGATGTATGTAGGTCCTTACTTTCAGTACCAACAATAATTATTATTTAATGGGGGACTTTCACTGGATTTCACAATTAAATTTCATTATTCCCAAATTTATTTCCAGACTATAAAAATTGTTCTCGTACAAAAAAAAAAAAAAAAGAAAAAATTGTCGCCAAATATCACGACAAGAAAATTGACGGAAACAATTGCAATAATGAAAATTTAGGAATCCAAAATTTCAGGATTGCAGGTCTGGATCCGACCCGGAATGCTTTTAATTTGCTCACGGAGTCGGCCTGATTCTAAAATGGTATGATATGTGGGTCTACGGCCTCTAGGAACAAAGTGAAAAATGTGTGACACAGTGACACACTGACATTCGCATTTATTACATAGATTAATAAAAAAAATCTACATGTGTTATGTTAACAAAAAGAAAAAAACTGGACATATTTTATATTAATCTCTATCTATAAAAGGCAGGATGTGTGTGTGTGTGTGTGTGTGTGTGTGTGTGTGTGTGTGTAACAAATGCACGGCAGCAATTTTCGACAGATTTGCCCCAAAATTTACATGCACATGCTCCAAGTTAGCCGGAAGGCATTTCCCAACTCCCATCGATAGTGGAAATAATCGATTTTTTCATGCTTCTACGGCAGTTTTCATGTAGTTTGCGGCCATTTTGTACTGGCCAGAGTGAGAGCCTATAGCTGGCTGCCACGAATAAGCAGGAAGATTCTATTGGCCAGCGTGAGAGCCAACAGCTGACTGACACGAATGTTAACTAGCATGCGGGCATGCAAAAAAAATCGATAGCTGCATGTGGGAAAAATTCAAATCTGCATGGCACTTTACTCCAATTGGCTCAACGTTGATTCTGATTCCGCAGAACTGGGTTTGGGTGTGAAAAAGTTTTTGTTGTTAACATTCTTTTTTCATTCGGTTTTTCCAGTTACGAGTCCTTTTTTAAAGCTGATCGTTTTGTGTTTATTTTGTTTAGTTCTTTTTTTTTAACAGATTTAATGTTTAGTATAGAGCTTAGAAACAATTCGCATTGTGAGATAGGCAAGAAGTAAGGCATGTAGCAACATCAATAATCACGGCAAGGGCACTCCTTTTAAAGTCTTTGCAAGGAAGGGCAAAAATATTTTTAAGTCAAGCAAAAAGATTTGGAGCGATAGCAGATAGGAGAGATAGAAAAAGGATTAGGAGAGGGATAGTGGATAGATCAAAGGTAACTGGAGATGTCGATTGACATTACATTTGAATAGTTGGAGATTATAGCTCTCAGGGAAACAGTAATTGGGAAGGGTGTTCCACAGGCGAGAGGTGCAGTGTGAAGCTATTGGAGTAGAAGAGACGGCTACATTAAAAAAGTTTCTACAGTGAAAAGGGTGATAGCGGGGTGCCTGCCTCGTAGGGCGCTTGAATTCATGAAGTCTGGGAACCAGCGAATGCAGCTCATCGGAGCAATTACCAGGAAAGTATTCGTAGAAAAGACAGAGACGGGCGACGGCGCTTCTGTGAGAGAGTGACTGTAGACGAGATGCCAGATCAGGGCCAATTATATTACATATCCGCCTCTGGATCTTGTCAAGAACTCC